AATCTACATTGGGGAAAAGACTGCCTCTTCAACAAGTGGTGCTGGGAAAACTGGATATCCAAATACAGAAGAATGAAACTAGATATGCATCTCTCACCATACAGTTAAGTCTTGACTTAAGTGTAAGACGTGAAATTGTAAAATTACTAAGGGAAAATATAGGTGAAACACTTCAGCCACTAGGTCTGGGCACAGACTGTATGAACATGAGCCTGAAAGCACAAGCAGTTAAAGGAAAAATAAACAAATGGGACTATATCAAACTAAACAGCTTCTGCACAGCAAAGGAAACAATCCACAGAGTGAAACAACAATCTACTGAGTGGGAGGAAAGTTTCACTAACTCTGCATCTGACAAGCCATTTATATCTGTAATATATAAGGAACTCAAGCAATTATACAAAAAAAAAAAAAAAAAAACAAATAACCCAATTAAAAAATGAGCAAAGAGCTGAACAGACATTTTTCAAAGGAAGACATACAGATGGCCAACAGGTACATGAAAAAATGCTCAACATCACTAGTCATCATGGAAATGCAAATTAAAACTACATTGGGATACCACCTCAACCCAGTTAGACTGGATATAATCAGTAAGATGGTGAATAACAAATGCGAACAAGGGTGTGGAGAGAAGGGAACACTCCTACACTGTTGGTGGGACTGTAAATTAGTACAGGCACTGTGGAAAACAGTATGGAGGTTTCTCAAACCACTATACACAGATCTTCCATACAATCCAGGAATCCCACTTCTGGGTATACATCCAGAGGAATGGAAATCATCATGCCAGAGGGATATCTGCACTCCCATGTTCATTGCAGCTCTGTTTACAATAGCCAAGACATGGAACCAATTTAAATGTCCATCAGTTGATGAATGGATAAGGAAACTGTGGTATAAATACACCATGGAATATTACTGTGCCATAAAAAAGAATGAAATACTCCCATTTGCAACAACATGGATGAGCTTGGAGAAACTTATGTTGAATGAAATAAGCAAAGCACAGAGGGATAAATACCACATGTACTTACTCATATGTGGGGGGTAAGAGAGAAAGAAGGAAGGAAATAAAGAGTGTTGGTCTTGCAGAGGGAGAGAACATTCCTTGGGCTACAAAGTGGAGTAGGTGGGAAAGCAGGAGGGAGAGAGAGGTTGGGGATAATTGGGTGGGGATACAGGGTACAAATGTAATTTGTGGTAATAGGTATGCTGCCAGTATGAATCTGGCCCTCACGTCATGGGCACAAGGGCTGACAGTCAGCTTTGTATCTCATGAATATTCATAATAAAAAGAAAGTTAAATATTTTAATGCAGTATTTTTTAAAAAACAAAATTAATACAAATGAACAAAATACTAAAATTTTATATAAAGACAGGATTGGTTGTCTTTTAATGAAGCAGTCTGCCCTCTTTTAAAGGATACTTCAAAAAGTTCATGGAAAGATTTTTCTGTCTTTTATTTCTATTTTTCCACGAACTTTCTGAAGTACCTTCGTATGTTCATGTGTGTGTGTAATAAGATTTAATGTGAGCTTCATGCTCTTCAATTTATTTTCTGAAACGTATCCTCTTACCAAATCTGTCATTTCCTTTGCCTTTATACTCAGCTTCTCTCATTTTTTTTTTTTACTTTGTTGAGATTTAAGACTTCTGTTTTGTTCAAAGATTTTCTATATAATTTCACAATTGGCACATCTTTCTTGTATACCACCTATTCCTCATTTTTTAAAAATATTTTTTGGGGAGTGGGGGAGTATGAGGATCTGAACTCTTGACCTTGGTGTTAAACACTGTGCTCTAACCAACTGAGCTAACCAGCCAGCCCTCCTCAGATTGTTGATAGTAGAAATGGCTCCCTTGTGTGCATGGAACAGAGTTCGCTAGAGAAACTAATAAATTATGAACTAAAGCTTTAATGAGAATATTGAACATGATACAAAACATTTTCAGGAATAGAGGCTAGAAATATAGTGATAATGACCGTGGATTAAAAGTTTAAAATCCTCTGGGCTACTTAACAACAGCAGATTCATCATCTACTTTACTTGGTTCTTCAGATAGTATACATGTTTCACTTTTTCCAAGAAGCTATTCTCAATAACTAGATTCCATTCTTAAGATTTCTGAATATTTAGCATCCAGTTAAATTTGTAGTCATTTTTTTTATGAATATCAAACATTGTCCTTTATGTCCTTTTTGTATTTATAATCACTGAAGCAGGGTATGCATTGTCTTGTTTTTTCCTTTTGCTTCTTTCCAGCACATCTATATCCTACTGTGGTCCTAACTGTGATGCCCAGCACATAGTGACTCAGGAAATGTTCAGTGTGTATCCATTAGCCAGTCAGAACCATGATTTCTTATCTTAATCTTAAAAGAGAAATTGTTTTGTAGGCGAAAGAGTGTTGTGGGGCTATCTTACATTGGTTTTTTTTGCTAAATAAACTGATAAGGAGATAAGAGATGGATGTTGTTAAAGGATGGAGAAAATAAACAATAAACCCCAGAAGTAGGATACACAGATTCTATTCAGCAAATAAGTTGTTAAATTGACCAGAGAGGATTCTCACCTCTCTAAGATGTTCACAGGAGAGGAAATTGATTTGATTCTATCTAGTGGAAGAATAGGTGGTAAATGTGATGCGATCTTGTCATATTTGAATTCATTTATTGGGGAAAAAACAAAAATATAAAAATACATTTATTTTATATACTCTTATGAAGAGTCAAAAAGTTGAAATTTTCACTAGATGTTTACAATTTGATGCTGAGAATTTCCTTGAGCTATCTCACGTAGATCTTCTATAATGTTTCTTTTTTCTTTTTTTTTGCTTTTCGTTGGAAGCTTTCCTGCCTATTACTGTCAAAGTCATGTGAGAGCCTAGAAGTTAATTTTAGATACTTGGGAAATGTTAACATTATTTTATCTTGTTTTGTTATAAATATATTGTTTATCAAATTTAATGAGATAAAACTGTTCATAAGGGGAATTTACTTTTGAATAATGGAGTAAGGAAAAAAAAGTAGTAAGTCTTTCCTAGAACTTATTTTTCCCCTTTTAAAAATTATGCTTTTGGTGGTGTTCCCATGAGGTAAGCTGACTCAAAGCATTTGATGAAAAACAGCAGCTCTGTATTTTTTAAATAGACATTAGTAGTTTATGTGTCAACTCATTTGTAGGAGTAGTGAATAAAACTTGGTTCTGGGTAACTATGTCCTTCTGCTCTCTTGTCTTGAGATGCTTCCGAAGAAAACGAGTAGAAAAATAAAAGAATAACAAGTCTTCCATTAGCACAGACTGGGTATGTTCGTGTTTTTGCTGTAGGGCATAACCCTTCAAAGAATATAATTAGCTTTGCTTTTCATTTTCTGCTTTTTCTCCACAGCCTCATGATTTTGATGAATGTCGATTTGATATTAGTGTAAATGATAGTGTTTGGTATCTTCGTGCTCAGGATCCAGATCATAGACAGCAGTGGATAGATGCCATTGAACAGCACAAGGTAAGATCTTTAAATGTTTAACTGTCCATGAGGGACTAGATATGAGTCTGATGATAACTCCTTTAAAAAAATCTTGCCATATAATATATTTTACTGAAATATTGAATGTTATTTGGGTGATAAAGATTAAAGCAATACAGGTGTAAATGTTTGAAATAATTCTATTTCAAAACAAAAATATGCCCTTTTTCATAAAACATATATTGATTTTTTAATATTTAGGATTTGCTTAATAATAAATATCTTTTTTATGATCTAGGTAAAAGGATTTTTTTTTTTTAATTTTGTCAATATACAATGTGGTTGATTATTATGGCCCATCACCAAAACCTCCCTCCCTCTTCCCTCTCCCCCTAGGTAAAAGGATTTTTGAAATAACATTGGATTGTAAAGCCATAATATTTAAAAGCTTGACTTTTAATTCTTGTAGTCATCTATAACCATTTGGGTAAATTCTTAATGCAAACATTTGCAAATCATTTAATCTTTATAAATATGAAGCTATCTAATGAAAATATCTATAGAAAGTCTTTCTGCTATTACTGTATATGTCAGATTCTTATAATTTAAAGCTATTCTTTGACTTCTGCTGTTAATAAATGGTAAGAAGACTAAAGAAATATATAAATAAATATGCATTAATAGTTATTTCAATAATACAGTAAAACAAAGAATAGAGAAAGTTCTAAACTCACCATTCCATTCTTTAGTGTGACATAAGAGAACCTTGTGCTTGTTCACATACTTGTCTGTGCTTGTTCATTTGGGTTTCACAGAGTTGTAGTTGAAACACCTGTTTTGGTTATTTTTAACAAGCACAAAACACACACACACAACAAGAAAAACCAGTCTGGCCTGGGATGCCACAGCACATTCTTCTTGATATTAATCATGTGTTAACTTTTCTTTCTTGGTTTATTGATTATGAGTTTTTCTCACCCTGAAGAAAACTGTGATGCCTTTCTTTTTCTCTGTTTTGGCTTTAGTACTATATTGTTTTAAAGCATAGACAATGTTTTAGTTTAAAAGAAGTCTTAGTTATCTTGGTATTATTAGTTCAGAAAAGTGTCTAAACATGGAAAAGTGAAAAACATTTTTCTATTATTTAAAAGAGAGATGAGATAGGATTCCAGAATCTCAATGCTTTAGAGCCAGGCAACCTGGATTCAAACACTGCAGCCTCTGCCATGTACGACGGGTGTGACCTTGGGCATGGTAATTAACCTCTACTTAGTATATTTTCTCAGCTGACAATCTGCTCAAAGTTGTAGTGAGGAATAAATTAGATAATATATGTAAAGTTACTTCCCAGAGTGGCAGATGTGTTTCCCCATTTATAGCATAATGCAAAAAGCGAGGGCTTTGGAGTCACAACTAAATTCAATAAATCATACCGTGGATGAAGAGTTCTACATTCAGTGAGAGTAGCTAAATCTGCATATAAAGAGGATGGCCCATTTCATGAATTTAATCAGAGCGAGCCCTCTCACTAGTAATTAAAGTTTTATTAAGTAGAACTAATTTCTATATTTTCAACCGAGAGGACCTTTAAAGGCTTAATCAGTTGATTTAGATTATAGGGCTAGTTATTTTCTGTTTTAATTAAGCATATTTTATTTTGCTCACTTTTCTCAGTAAAGTTCAACCAGAATTCTCTTGCATGGTTCCCATTTTGCATTATCTCCTTGAGTGAAGATGAATGCATGTAGCATATATTTCTTTCTCATATCATTGATTTGTTTGCATCTTTGAACAATGGATAGATAAAATCTTTGGGTGTCTCTTACAGCAGTGGGACTTAAGTTGAGATAATAGACTTTTTGTTACCGAGACCCCAAAGGTCTGTTTGCTTGACTCTCAGTAGCCAATAATTGAGATGAGTGTTGGTGTAAGGAAATATAGCCTTTAATCAGGAAACCAGTGGCCTGGGGAAATGGTGGAATTATGTCTCAAAGTCCATCCCGCCTCTCCCATGTTTGTCAAAGGGTTTTATAGGGGTCTTTGGTAGAAAGTTGACTCATGGTGACCAAGGGGGGATGTGCAGACATAATCATCAAGGAACTTCCCGGGTGGGAGTTGACCAGCATCGTACTTTATTCTTCATGGATTCAGTTCCTGTTATTCTCAAATAAGATCAGGTTAGTAAGCCATCTGGGTTAATAATTTTTCTCTATTATTTGTGTACAATGTGAGAGCAAGAGTCATTGTGTTCTGGCAGTTAGCTTCAGGCTATGTGGTTTGAGTTACAGAAGAGAACAAGTTTTTAAATTCAAAGGTTTGACAAAATGGAGTCACTTTTGTTCAGGCTGTTACATTTTAGTAATTTTAAGTTCTTAGAAAAAAAAGATTCAACTGCAGAGTTGCAAATACATTGTAACCAAGTCACGATAAATCCAGCATGTTGTACTTCACAGTTGGCCTGGACTCCCATCATTCCAGCTCATTCAGTTCCATTCACAGTTACTTCCTCTACACCACCTGAACAGGACACTTGGAACAATATACTTTCGTTTCTGTGTTCTGATGTCATTGGATAGTCCTTCATTGCCTTTTCTTGCTTTTGAGCTTTTGTTAGGGCTTCCCTGACAGGTTTTAGTAATTTTCAACATCTGGAAGAAGAGTTTGGGGGTTTCTGTTCCTTCCTTCCCAAGAGGTCCTTCCAGTCATTATAATAAGTTCTGTGTATTGATCCATTTCATTCATGCATGTATGCACACATTCTCTCTCTCTCTCTCTCTCTCTCTCTCTCTCTCTCTCTCTCTCTCTCTCTCTCCCTGCCCCTCCCTCTCCCTCTCTCCCTCTCTCTCCCTCGCGCGCGCACACACACACACACACACACACACACACAGGAGTTCTATCTTGCAGGAATTCTTCAACAGTAATAATGATGGGTGGTAGTGGTGGTAGCTAAAATTTCTGAGAAATAATGTATGCCAGATGTGGTGATAAACACTTTATCTCATTTTATCCTCAACATTAGTGTGAGATTAACATTATTGTCCTATTTTTTCAGATTAGGAAATGGAGGCACAGAGAGGTTAAGTAACTTGTCCAAGGTCAAATAGCTAGTTAGTGAAGGAACCAGAATTCAGACCGAGGCCTATCTGACCTGAGAACTGAGGCTTTTGGCCAGCAAATACTTCTGCCATCCTACAAGTGTGTGTTTATGTGGAATATATTTTGTTGATTTAAATCACAGACTTCTTGAATCGTGATATTCTCACATTTTCTTTATGTTCTTCATATCTGTAGTGGGTTTTTTGTTTGTTTTTTTTAGTGCTGCCAGCATCTAGTATATAGTGTTTATTTTAGATCATAAGCTCCTTAAAGACTCAGACATATTACAATTCAGCTTCTTTGTAGGAATCAGCAAAGCATTGGGCACATAAATTTTGCAATTGAAATAATTAGCAGTATTGTAAAACAGATTTTATGGGGGAAATTTGTGGGGTTTTTTTCCACATTTAATCTTCATGGATTTTGAAAGAATGATTACTGACAGAAATGCAGTAGGGTTCTGTATTCTCTGTCTAGCTGTGTTGTTTTGTCCTCCTCCTTGGTATTCATTCCAGAATAACTTGCTTACTGTAAGAAAAGTTTTAAAGAGATAATTCTATGATTTAAATTCTCTGAATATATTAAAAATTACATAGTATAGTGTGACATTAGTTAGTAGCCCCTGCAGAAGAAAGGTAGTCCGTATAAAAAGGTATTAAATTCAAAGAGTCTTTTTAAATTTAAAAGATAGGAAAGGGCATATGTATACTGGACCACTAATATTATTTTGAAATAGTGTGATGGCTTTATTATGTGGAGTCTTTTATATTTTGCTTTTCTCCTTATGATATGAGACAACACTAAATAAATTATTTTTAAAGATACAGTTTAGTTTTGTTTTATTTAAATCTCTTGGCCATCTCCTATATTGTCCTGAGGTAAGATGAAATGGTGTTGGTGAAAATTCTTTAAAAACCAAAAGCTATAGGAATGTAAAGTTAAGGTGCTTGTTTTTTATTTGGATTAAACTAACATTTTTCTGGTAAAGATAGGCCTCTGTGAGCATTTTCTGCACAATAAGTTTATCAAGGAAATGTGATAAACCATCTGTTAATGCTCTTATTTTTAAAAATCATAGGGTTATTCCTAGAATCTTCTACAACTATAGTACATGTGATTTTGACTAAACACAGTTTCTGTTTACAATGAAAGAAATATACCCCCCTACCCCATACCCCTCACTCCCCAAAAAAACTAACAGGAAGGCTTTCCTGGCACTAGCAGATTTAAGAATCATCTTGAAAATGTTAAGTTTCTTTGCTCTGATAGAGTTTGTGGTAATCATGACAGTCCTTTATTCTATAAGGGAATACTTTAGTAAATCCTAAAATTTTGGTGGTCATGAGCCACACAGACTTTCCCCACATTGTGGAAATTATCCAAGACATGAGGAGTCATTGGAAAATATACAATTAGGGAAGATGAATCCAAGTGGTAATTTTTACAGATGTTGGTTTTCTGTAGTGGTGATCTACAGACAGTTTTAATATTTGCGGATTTGTTCTTTTCCCTTTGTGAAGGCCTAATACATATGTGAAGCATCGTTGAATACCTTCAAAAGAAAAATTTATTCTCAACCTGAGAGCTTTAGGGATTGCTCTGAGGAAATTATGTGGAAAACAATTTTTGAAAGGAACTTTCATTTTCCTTGAAATGAGATGGGAGATGATAAAAATTTTTTACCAAAGGATTCCCATGGTTGAGCCACCTAAATGATGCCAGAGACTCACTTTAGAGATCTTTTAAAAATTGTGTTCCTATTTGTCATAATGAAATTTTTCCCTCATGCAGTCTCAATGTCAGCTTGATTTTGCTGCTTTTTTTCTTAATTTTAGGAGCATTTTCTGCTTATTTGATGCCTTAATTTATTTTGTCTTAAATTTGGCATTAGCTTGGGAAGCTACTTTAAAATAGCTAGATGGCAGAATTATCCTGTTACCACT